CGGCTCCCGGCTGGGTAATAATCCCGGCAATGGCAGCAGCAACAATGGTGGAGGACCCTGCTCGGTGGAGGATCTACTGATTCGCATTGGCCTCAAGGAGTACACCTCCGTGTTCGTGCTCAACGGGTAAGTGGTGTAGATGAAACAAATTTACCAACAATATTTTTGTTGGATTGTTTCACCTATCGTTCCATTTGCAGCTACGAGGACCTGGAGCTGTTCAAGGAGCTGGAGCCCGCCGATCTCGATTACCTGGGCATCCTCAACCAGGAGCATCGCGCCAAGCTGCTGACGGCTGTGCAGCTGCTGCATGACATTGAATGTAAGTCTAGATTCCAGAAAAACCTTTAGTAACCTTTAACCTACTGGCTACGATAGAAGAGTGAAGTCTTGCGGATAATAGGGGAAAAACAGGTTGAAGAAATTATTAAAACTAAAGTTTTAATAGGAATTGAGTCAAATCTTTTGTATTAAAGTTAGAAGTAATGACTTTGCCAACTTGTTAAATTATTTAGAAATTATTTTAAGTAAAGCATCATTCATTTTCTTTTCATTAAACTCCGTTTTTCAAGTTGTAAAATACCAATACAATTCCTAATTCAATTTCACATTACCAAATTAGATTTCAAAAAGCGTAATTCTGAAGGAAAATTGTGAAATTCCTAATCACGATTGCCCATAAAGTACAGTTTTCAAATCGTAATTTTATTGGCAACAGATAAAGTGCCTTTTACTCGGTTCTCTCATCACGTTGGGCGTATAAAACAGCAGTTGGCGATAACTTTTATGCAGCCATAAATTCGAGTTAGTAACGCAGCTTGAAGTCTTTACCTGCTCTGGCCCTTTTATGCGTGAGACTCACTGCCTAAATAAGCCAGCTAAATTGATGTTTACCCAACCTAACCCGCTCTCTCACCTCGTATTCAACACTCCACCCACACCCCACACCCACTTACACACCCACCAATACTCACAGCTACAAATTTCACCCGCACAGGCTCCGACGTGGACATAGCCGGCTCCAGCTCGGAGAACGACGAGGCCCGCCTGAACAACATCAATATCAAGCATGGAGCTTCGCCCTTTGGCCGACGGCACTTTCCCCGCGACTCCGGCTGCTACGAGGGATCACCGCTGCCCAGTTCGCAGACACCAACGCAGGCGGTGAACTCAACGGACGAGTCCAACAGTCTGGACGACGTGGTGACCAAGTGTTCCAGCGAGATCATGAAGCGCGTGGAGAGCGCCAGGCGCTGCAAGGACAATCCCTTTAAGGCCACACTGCCGGGCGGAGGACGCGTGGGCAAGAAGTCCTTTCTCGGCGGCGGCGGCCTTATGGCGGACGATACGCTCACGCGTGGAGGGCTTAGCGAGAAGTCGAGCGACTCGGGCGTCAGCAGCAGTTCGCTATCATCGGGTCCGCTAAAGAGCAGCACTTAACATTTGCCCACCATACTGGCCCACGAGTTGCTGCTGGGCGTGGGCTCGGGGATGGGCATGGGCATGGGAACCCTTACGCCCCATGGAATGTCCGCCACCTCACCTACAGCCCATTCAGCGCCGCTGGGAAACATATGCAACACGCTGCCACATGCTCCGAGCTCCTCCTCCTCCAACTCGGCCGGACTGTCCAGCAATCTGCCGCTCAACCGGAACCTAGTGATGCTGCGCAATCATCTGCGCAAGAATACGACGGGAAGCAGCGTTAGCGGGAACGGCAGCGGCGGAGCGGGCAGCGGAGTCGGAGTGCAGCTGCTGCAGGATCAGGACGACAGACAGGAGGATCAATAACCCATTTACTACATCAAGTTCTTAGTTTAGTCTCCCGTTGAGTTAAGTGTATTTCAATTGCTGTGATTCGATAGTGAAAACAAAAGGCCAACATGCGTCTTTCAGTTCAAATGTATAGTATGTATAGAGAGAGATAGACAGACAGTTAGGGAACGGGAACAGGAGCGGAATAGTGGCAGGGGGTTGGGGCGCGGGCGGGGCAGAGTTAGTCAGAGTCAGTCAATCCTTCCTCCGATAATGTTGGCATTTACACAGATATCTAACACGTATTTATACAAAGAACACAGACTTATTATTATATACACACACGTCTGCCGAAAAAAGAAGAGAAATTTCATATACATACCCAGGGATGTGGCGGAAAATGTTTGAAATGCTTTGACTGTTTTTAGTTGGCCTCAGGCTGCTGAATGCGACTTGTTTGATTTGCCATTTGTTTGCCGTTCAGCTGCTTTGCGTGTGCATATTTCTCAACGTGATATTGTGAAACGTCCAACTTGAATTGCATTTTATATATATATATATATATTATTCGTTTCCACACACACACACACAATGAAGTCGATTCCTATTTTTAAGGCACTAACCCGAGTGCAGAAGCAATAGACCAATTCAATTTTAACAAGGAAACAAAGTATTTTAACATAAAACACGAGAAGAACAGAACACCAACTGCCATTCGAAACTAATTTTAATTTGTTAATAATCGATAATCGTACAAGTGTAAAATGTATAATGTAAATGCCAGTCCGTCAGAGAAACTTGTATAAATAACTGCCGAAAATTGCCAAATCGAGCAAGATATGTAATGTACGCTAAGCAATATTTTCAATCGTAGCCCGAGTTGCCTGTCCGAATGGTTTGTACATATTTGGGACGGCGATTCAGTTAGGTTCTAGTACTACGACCCTTATGGTAGATATCAAGATTTAGCGATAATCAAAAGCAGACAATGAAATTAGTCAGGCAGCGCAAATGTTTTTAATCAGTTTCTATCGATTAGTTAAATAAATGAGGGAGTATTTATCACGGCACAACCACTACAAATAATACAAATTTCAACTGATTAAAATACATACTAGAGCATAGCATATAGCGTAGAGCATCTAAATATAATATAGCAATTGACTAAATGTAAATGAGTTTATTTGGAATACGCTTCGACTTCTACTCAGAACGTAAATTAAACCTGAACATATTTTGTGAGCATAAGATATCGATATTCGTATGGTAACTCAATTAACTCTAATCCCAAATTAAATCAAATTTAAACAACCGAAGAAATCGCACGTGTTACAGCCAGAAGAAGGTGGACGATGGACGGATTACGAGAGGGAATAACGATTATAGGCATTTTTAAATTTAACTATCCAAATTACATTTAAGTGTTTCAACTGTAAATTGTAATAAAGTCAACAAATGAATATTTATATATATTTAGAGGCGAGGTGAGAGGCGTAAACAACACTCGGCATGGCTAGCATTTTCTAATTATCACTGTAAAATGATGTAATTTAAAGACAGAATATATAAGCAATATTAAAGTTTAACCCAACAAGGAGCCACAAAATTGATTATTAAGTCAACACATTACAAATGCAAGTAAACAAAACGAAAAGAAAGTAAATTTCCATTAACACACACCGTAAAACGAGAGCGCAAACTAAGCTATTCAGAGTTCAGTAAATTTTAGAAGAAATTTTCAAAAACAAAGCAAAGTGGAGAACTATGATTCGTGTTTATGCATAAATCAAAGTAAAATTCTTTAAATAAAAATGAACATATCTAAAAAGTACTTGACTCCTTGAAGTGTTATTATTGGGCTTGGACTGGGATGTACATATTTTTAGCAGCGATCATTACCGCCCATTTACTTTCATTGGCTCTGACTTTCCCATACCCTTGGCTCATCCCTCTTTCGATGGGCTAGAGCACTACTACTTAAGGTCCCCCCTCCAGCAGCTTTTGATCAGGCAAAGGAGACCGCTTCAAGAAGCAATTTGGACGGCAATTGGAGGTCGCCCGACACTCGGCTGAAATGTAAACGATTCTCCGAACCAGGAACCCTTGAGTCTGCGACACGCTCAGATGAACGCCATAGTGACTGGCCGGTGTCGGTGACAGTCAATAGATTAGCAGCACACCGCGGACGTAATCTGGTCTGATTAAATTTACAGATCCACTCCTTATCCCAGAGATCTATAGCAGCTGCTGCTGGTGATGTTTATTCATAGAGCGACGACAGTCGTCGTCGCGGGCTTAGCTTTTACAGCGTCTAGGTGGGCGGGAGGAGGCCGGGAACCGAACTGAATTTGCGCTTAAGTGCTTTAGTAAATTGTTAAATTGCTTTTGTCTTTCGCCCGGCGGCCGGCCAGCACATGAAAATATGAAAATTGATATTATTGCATTTGCACAGACCGAGCCAAGTGGACTCTATCTCATTGCCACAGCGGCGTTTTCTCGTCTCGGTTTCAGCATAGTCACAGTCACAGTCGCAGTCACAGTCGGTAGTCAAACGCGGCAGCAGCTCAAACAGCGCAGGAAGATAATCGTTTCTCTAATTTAATCAGCAAATAGAAACATGAGTGAAAAGTATACAGAGTCCCAGATAAAGTTCGAGCAAGTGCAGCGGGAGTTGTCGAAAAATCCCCAGACCGTATATTCCCAGCCTCATAACCTAGGATTATCCGCGAGTCTTTGCTTTGTCTAGTCCCCCGATTTGTTGGTGTATTCCGAATGCAATTGTCTTCTGTCTATCTTATCTTTCGAGGGGCTTACGGGCCAGGCAGCCTACTGCCCTGTGGCCTCCATAAAGATGAAATTAAGCGAGCAATCGCCATAAAAAGCCTGACATCAATAAGACTCCATTTATGCAACGGACAACAATCGAAATGTAAACATTTTTACGACTATTCCACAATTTCCGATCCATCAAAAGCCCATTACCGCTCGCTCTGATTAGCATGATGACCCACTGTGGCCTTATCAGTGTCAGTGGAGAAAGGTGATTAGATTCGCGGAACATAACCTGCTCAATGAGGGAAAGCTGGCACATGAGACCCTTTTTTTTGACAGGTTCACAGCGCCTGCCCCCCGCTCTTTGGCCCACGCAATGGTTATACACATTTGTGTAAATCAGATAGACGTTCTCTTATCAGCAATTCATTTTATAAGGCTCCGTCTTGGCCTGATAAGTGGCCCCACAGCCGTTCGAGCAGCCAGAAAAGCCAGAACAGCACCGGCGCGTGTTGGCCACAGTTGATGAGCTCTCGCAGACGTCAAAGTCAAAAGTTTATCCGTTTCGCGGCGGGATGTGAAAAGTGCGATCGCATTCCTCAAAACCGTTTACATTTTCAAATTTCCCTTAGATTGGGATGAGCCAGAAGGATATTCAAAAGTTAACCTAAATACCTCATCGTGGAAACAAAAGTGTGTGCTGAAGATTTTATAAATAATATTTTAGATTTGATGAAAAGTTTGTTTCTGTAGTGCAAACAAAAGTAAGTGGTAAGTTTTATATCACACAATACCTCGATCTTTGAAATATTTAACAATTGGATAATCTTTCAAGATTTATTTGCTAAAAACAATTTAAGTGAATTTTTCGGTGTGTTTTAAAACAAACAAATCGTAATACTCTCTGGGAATATAAGTGATATGACTCAATAAATTTTATATTAACCATTTAAAGATTTTAACAACAATCCGGCGCCAAGTGGTGTGACGACAAGTGTCTCGTTAGAAAGCCCCGGCTATCGCTCGCATCTAATTGCCGAGCAATCTCCTCATCAGAGCGGAGTTCTGTGGCCCAGATGCCATAAAGATTAGTCTGCTTATCGGGCCCTACGACACTGACTGGGGACTAAGGCACAGCCACTCCGTACTTCTAATAGTGCGAAATGAGAGACAAGCTGGAACAGGCCAACAGCCGCAAGGCTTCCCAGGCCTCGGGAAAGTTTTCCCAGATGGATGTCGACGAGTCGGAGTTTAACGATCCCTTCCAGGCGTTGATGGAAAAGGCGGGCAACCATGGCCGCTATCAGACCTTATACAATTTTGTGTTTGTCGGAGGCTTGGCCTTCAGCGGAGCCATGATCTACATGAACATTATCCTGGCTCTCAATATACCCGACCACTGGTGCACAGTGCCCGGCAGGGAAAACACAAACTTTTCGCTAGAGGAGTGGCGGGACATCACCTTGCCCAAGTAAGTGCCTGGGAACAGCCTCCAAAAAATGTGATTTGAATCCCGTTTTGCAACAGACAGGCCGACAATCGGGGTAGGGAAACATTTAGCAACTGTGAGGCGTTCCGCATGAATTTCTCCGAGATCACGGATTGGTCAGGCTGGAACAATAGCCAGAGGACGAATCACACAGAAAGTGAGTAGAAAAAACGGTAATAAATTAATTTAATTTTCAATCTAAAAGAAAACCTAATAAAGGTAAATAGCTTTTTCCTCAAAAAAAAAAAACAGGTAATTGGAAGCATACAAACCACGAAAAAATATATAGAATGTTTCCTTTGTGATTATTTGCTTTAGGATATTTCATTATAGTTTTTAATTTAATTAATTTGAAAAACCAACAAAGGCAATTATAATTCTCCATTCATGTGACAATTTTATTATGCATTTATTTAAATGCGATTACTTTCCTGCTAAACCCCACCAATTGCTGGGCTTTTGTAGCAAATATTTATTGAGCTCCCGAAACTCTATCGAATTGCTTCCAAGGAAAAGTAAACACATACGTTTGCCGGATTAGAGGTGAAATTACTTTCAGCGTTTCGCTGCTCTTCCGCTGTCTTATAAATATTTGCAACTTTGCACTCGAATGCATTTTACGACCACTCCCATTACCATCGCTCCCACACCATCCCCCGTTTCAGCCTGCCAGAACGGCTGGAGCTACGACAAGACCTGGTACGAGAGCACCATCCCCACGGACCACAACTGGGTGTGCGCCAAGGATTTGTTCGTGACAAATGTGTTCGTGGTGGGTCGTGTGACGGAGGTGGCCGGTTCATTTATATTGGGACAAATGGGCGACTCGTAAGTAGCGCGCGACTTCGCTCCCACCTAACTAAGTTATGGCAGCGCCGGTAATTGAATCTGTCCACTCTCCGGTCGCCCTAGCTATGGACGCAGGTTCGTGTACTACATCAGTGTGGTCTTCTGCTCCCTGGGACGCATCGGGTCCATCATGTGCACCAGCTCGTACACGTGGTTCCTCATCATGTCCGGCATCGTGGGCCTCACGGTCAACAGCCTCTTCCAGTCGCCCCAAATTATCGGCATGGAAATCTCGCGGGAGTAAGTTTGAACGAAGTTTGTGGCCAACTTTTATAGCTCACCCACTCCCCTCAAATTGTGTCCAGGGAGGACCGAAGTCGGATCGCCTTCTTTCAAAGCTGTGGCTGGTCCATTGGCACTACCCTGATGCCCCTGCTTTACTGGTGGCTGCGCCACTGGGACTCCTTCATGTGGCTCACCTCGGTGCCCACGGCAATGGTTCTGCTTTTCTCCAAGTAAGTCACGCAGGGCACAACAAAATCTAATAATAAAGTATGTTTCCGTTGTGACATTAATTAGTTCTTTAGTTGGTCAAGTCGTATTTCAATGCCTTTATTTTGATTGTAAGGCAAAAGAGGGACATTTTGGTATATCTCCTGGGAAGTACAATAATTTTGTAAAATGTTTTCCAGATACGTAATCGAATCTCCGCGCTGGCTTATTAGCAAGCGCCGTTTCCGCGAGGCCATTGTCCAGCTGCAGAAGATAGCCAAAATTAATGGGCATCGCTTCGACATGACCGAGAAGGAGTTGGCCGAGATCTACAGTCAAGAGAAGCAGGATGTCACCTATGGCATCGCATCCCTCTTTGCCGGCTGGCGGCTGGCCCGCAACACCATTATCATGGGCTTCAGTTGGTGAGAAATAGAGATAAACTAAGAGAAATATTTAACATTAAGAATAAAAATCTTAATAATTCAAAGTTAAAGTGAAGTTTAAATTAAGTAAAGCCAAACATTGATTTACTACAAACAGTAAAATTTAGACAGAAGATAATTTCCTAAGCCCCCTAAAATATAAATTTGTTTTTGTAAATTTTTTTTAACCTAGGTATTAGTTACATTCATATTAAGAAATATATTTTCTTGCTCATCTGTTTATTTTTTTTTTATAGAAAGTCTTAAAATTGCATTGTTTTCCCTCAGTGCCTTCAGCTAAGCAATTTGCATGTCTAACTGCCGACTCTGGTCCGTTTTTTCCAGGTGCGTGGTGGCCGTCTCCTATTTCACGCTGGTGCTCTTCAGCTCCCGCATGGCGGGCAATCCGTTTCTGAACTTTTTGTTTCAGAGCATTGTGGAAATTCCCGCCTACATCGTGGGCCGCTACATGGGTGAGTGCTGCGGGGCGTGACGCCGCGCTGATTGGAGCAGTCCATCACAGCCAGTGTCATTCTTCTTCTCCTTCCCAGGCGATACATATGGAAGGCGCTTCACCAACTCAATATCGTTCCTCGTCTCGTTCGTCACCTGTCTGCCCATCATTGTGTACGCAACGGATGAACGGTACGAGAGCCTGATGATCTACCTGGCCACGTTCATCAAGTTCCTCAACGCCCTCACCTTCTTCACGGTGAACCTGCAGTGCCTGGAGATCTATCCCACCTGCATGCGGCAGACGGGCGTGGCCCTGGGCACCATTCTAGCCAATGCCATTGGTGTCCTGGCCCCCTACCTGGTCTACCTGGGCACCACCGTTGACATCAGGGCGCCGTACTACATCCTGGGCGTTCTATTCCTGCTGGGCGGCATAGGGGCGCTCTTCCTGCCGGAGACGCTGCACAAGAAGCTGCCGGACACCATGGAGGAGGCGGGTCACTTTGGCAAACACGATGTGAGTGCAGTCAGAGTTTTCTCTTTACTTTTATTAGAAGTTGCTTGGAGTCTACCTACAAATCTTCGAAGCCTTTAACTTCAAGACTTTGCTTTAATTACTTTCTCCAAAGTGGCAAGAGTTCTTCAACCTTCTTCCGCTCGGTGAGCAATGAGCCACGAAGGAGTTTTGCTATCTCATCTAATTTATAATCTAAATTATGCAAAGCAGCCGTAGCCTAATTTCATTTTTCACAAATTTAATTTACAGAAATTCTTCAGTCTGCCGAAGCCGCCACCGGCGATGGAAAAGGACGACAGCCTGTCATCCCATCCGGAGTTAACCAGTCTCAGACGCTCGGAGACGGCGCCGTGAAGCCTCAAAGGATCCCCGAATCCCGGTATCCTCGAAGACCTGCAAAGGAACGAAGTCCTCGCCTCGGCAATCGATTCCCATTGCCATTCCCGTTCGCCGCTCACGTTCCCCTTGTGATGTTACGTTAAGTTTGGCCCAAAGTATTGCGAATAAAGTATTGTTATGTAGGCAGCCGTAATAAGACCCGCATAAATCACAAATCACCCATCCGCGCCCACAGAAATCTCAGCAATGAGTTTATCAGCGCATCTGTCAGAAATTTACAAATTACCTGACGCGCACCGCCCTTGGCTGCTGGGGTAGCTAATGCTGTGGCTAATTTAATAAATGACGCGCCACCCACCGAGCGCCGCACACATGGCGTATGCGTAATGCGTGGCAGGCGCCTGATTTATGCAAGTTATGTATCAATTTTTATCACCAGTTGCAGGAATCGAGGCGAGAGCCTGTCGTTGGTCGGTCCTTTTCCTGGCAAAGTGTTAAACTGTAAGCAGCCACTAACACCGAAACCAACTGACAGCGGAAACCAGAAATACAATGTAGTTGAAGACAGGGAACTGGAAAATCAAGCCGAGGTTTGAATGCACTTCTCAGCTAAAATTGTAGGAAATCAAATCGTATAAATGTATAGGGGGTTTTTAGGAAGAATATATAATAATTAATTATGTATTATATTTTAGAAAAAACTACTCTTACTCTGTAGCACACAAAGTAAGCTGTAAATGAAACCAATATTTATTTATTTCTGTCAATATTTAAGACCTGCCCAGACAGTCGTTTTCAACTCGCCAAATTCTCACAACTTTTCACTGCATTTGGCAAGTTGAACCTGCTCTACAAGGAGGATATAACCCTCCTCGGAAAAAAACTTTTACTCGTACGTCGTGCCTGGAACAGGACGTGCAACTTTTGTGCGCAAAGGTGTTTCGCTTTTCAAGTTATTTATTATGATTTATTTGCCAATGTGGCGCGCTGATGTGGCAACGTCTCAGACGGAAACTGAATCTTGGCCGTCGGGGGTAGGTGCGGAGTCCAACCATCCCACTTCTGGCATGGCTGCAGCGGCGATAAGTAAATTGTTTATCCTACTTGTGAGTTATGTGCTGCGACGGCCAGCCAGCAAGCCAGACCGAAAGGAGCAGGAGGTGGAGAGAACAGGAACAGAAGTAGGTCCTGGGTACGGCCATTCAGTTTGATGATCATGTTGATGTTGGCCCAAGGTTGGACACCCCTCAGTAATGGCCGGGGCAGCTAACAATGTTATGCTTTCATAAACAGCTGAGCGCAATTTTCTGATAAGCCAGCTCCTGTGCGCCGGCGAATGCGAGCGAGCTGGTGTTGGTGGCTATTTGTTTCAATTTATCATAAAAGGCAACGCCGGAAGTCAGCCAAGCTGCAGTTGAATGAACGATGAAGGAACATTCAAGCAGAGGAGCAGGGCGGAGTCTTGAGGCGGCTTAGCCGTAAGATGGGCCCGCAAAGAGTCCTTGCCAGCTGGGAGCTGAGCTGAGCGGCATTAGAAGGGATTCCCGGGAATTTGCGAGGAGGGAGGAGCGGCCTGTTTAAGGACTGCATAAATACGGCTCACAATTATCACTGTCGCCAGCCAAGGCTCAGGCACTGTAAGAAATAATAATAACCAAATAACGAAATCTAAGCTTTAAAATTTAAAATGTAAACTTTATCTTTAAGTTCCCTTTCCCCTAGTGTAGCCAAATTACCCCCCAGCTTCGGCTTGTCTTGAACTGGTCCTTCTGTGGCCCACTTCGCCCTGTCCTTGCCTGTCCTGGCAGTAATGAAAACAAATGTCCAGTCATTTGCTGCAACAAGGACAATTAAAGAGGCAAACATTAGGAGTGTGGAACGGCAGTGCAGCGAAAAGTAAATCCGAGTGCATTGGTGCCTTTGCTACAAATTTTCCGGGGGTTTTTCATATTTCAAGCAATTGAGAAGGAGCCAAACTATTTGCAATATTTCAGGCTGCCACACGAACGAAATCCAGACATGAAAAATGCAGTGCCTGCCCGGGCTTTCTCCAGTGGCTGCAAAAGGGTGGAAAAGTGGCTGAAAAGTGGGCGGCGGGATTGGCAGCAAGAAGCGGGTGCCACAACAGTGATTGCGCTTTATTTGTGATAATAAAACACACCATCGCGCCGAGACGACGTCGACGACGACGACGATGAGGACAACGTTGGGAAAGCGGGGTAAAATCGAACCGCGAAATTGCAACAAACTGCGCGTGCATTGGCCTCCGAGACCGGGGGGCGAGGTAGGTGGAAGCCGGAGCTGGAGGTGGCCCCGGGGAAACAGAGCAGAAGTCAGGACCTTGCTGCCGGGGTAAGAATATTTAAGCTGCAACAACGTTGCAGCAAATATTAAAGGAAAACACCAACGGCAGCGGGGCGCAAAAGGATTTACTGCATATTTCATGTTCACAACGAACCAATTTTACGCTCTTCAAATCCTATTAGTCAATGGCCCAAGGGGGATGCAGTACCACCACCATGGCCACCAGATGCAGAGCCACCGACATCAGCACCACCAGCAATTGTATACGGAGAGAAAATAATAAAATCTTATGTATGTAATTTTAAAAATTCTCTAAGAAGGTTAAGGGTATAAAACATATAGTTTTCTACTGATATGTCCATTTTTAAAAACTATGAAATAGCGTAAACCCTTCCAGGATCAGGGGATTAGGCAACCCAATTTAAATCTACCATTACTAAGCCAAAAAGAGCATTAATTTAATAATACCCTACAAATATATAAACAATATTATAACTTCGCCGTTTACAAAATTATTTTAATTTATTCCAAAAACTTAACAATGCACGATTTTCCTCTCAGTGCAGCAACAGCAGCTTCAGTGGAATCAAGCAGGAGCTTCACCCAAGGCAGATGTTTCGGCAAAGGGTTGAGATTGAGTTGGGTGGCATTGGGCGGCGCTGTGGAGTGGGCGGTGCAGGGTGATTGGTGATGCCTCGGCTCAGATACAGCGATTTACTTGCACACACACGAAAGTGTGTGTGTGTATAGATATATCTATATAGTATGTACGTACTATATATAAGTAAGACTCTGGGCCTGGGTCAGCTTAGTGTGTCTGGCATTTCCGCACGATTATGCATGTGAGTGGCGGTGTGGCGGCTGCCCGGGTGGTTGGGCGAAGGGATGACGCTCGGTGGGTGGGGATAAGCCCGATGGACAGCCCGCAAATGCCCGCCTGGAAACGGTCCTCATCAATCTAGTTACTTCGAGAGCATGAATTATGAAAAACGTGCAAAATGCAAACGGAAATTAAAATTTATAAAAAAAAAGAATAATGAAATGAAGGAGGGGAACGAGAACTTCCACTCCGTTAGACAAATGCTCCTCGGTGCGGGGGGCCCACACACGGAAATCAAAGAAAACACTAGCCGAAAGCCCCAAAACAACAGATGAAAAGCCAACAGCGGCAGGAGCTAGGGAAATATGTATGAGAAAATTAAACATATTATCCCAGACTCTGGCCTGGCTAGGTTCTTTTTTTCTGCTCCCTTTGGCTTTTGCATGCTCCGGACGTCTCCGGCACAGCTGTTGAAAAACAAACCCCAACTTTGGCCGCATACAACATTTTTGTCAGGGTCCTGCTGCCGCTGTCCTTTATTAATTTAACAGGCCCTGCCAGTGATGCGATGCGACTTTGACTACAACTTGAACTACAGCGGAGGACAACAGAGGAGCAGATGAGTGGAGGATGAGGGGATCAGGGCCAACGATGGAATTCAACAAGCCATAAAACATATGAGGCAGCCGAGTAGCATGCATTTTTCATGAGCCGTTGGCTTTTGTGCCCCTCACAATCATTGGACCAGGCCCGAAAACTCCCAGGCCCACCATGGCATCGCCAACAATCATCATCAGCACTCGTCGTCGTCCGCTTCCAGAGGAGTCAGCTGGAGGACTTTTGCTGCTGTACCAGCTGCTCCTCCTGATCCTGTTCCACCCGCCTCCGATTTCTCCACTTCTGGCTACACTTGAACTTACAATGACACGTTCGAGGTTCGAATAAAGGCAGAGGGGAATGGGGCTCATAGGGGGTGTCCCTGCATATTTGTTTGGGAATATTCGAGTAGGAACCTGCCACTGCATTTGCTTTTTTCCTTTTTTTACCCTCAACTCTTTACCCATAGTTCCCACACAAATTGCTTTCATTTGTTTTAATGGGATATGCAAGGACCTAAAATCCTTGAACCCTGATTTGCGCTGTGCAAATATGCTTAGATGTGTATTTTTCATAGAAGGCAAATAAATGGTAAGTCGATCTGTATGAAAAATAAATATTTGTAAAGACACAGAGTGACTAGAACCCAGATTTATGTTCCCAAATTATTAAAATTAATAGCTGTTAAGTGTAATAAAGTAATAAAGTATTAGTAAGGTAATAACATAAAACACAAAGAGCGCAATCTTTGGACTTTATTAAACGCTAGTGCTTAGGTCCCATAAAAAGTATCTTTATGGAAGCATTTGCGACAAGACAGTGTTATTATCATATCACTAAAAGACTTATTTCCATGAATTTATCTCCGCTATTAGACACCACACGATTGCTTCTCCCAGCCTCAGCAAGTGCTTTAAGTTTCAGTTCGCCGATATATTCCGCTGTGACCCATGAGTCTTGGTTACTCCACTTCCTGTGGGTCCCCACCAGGATGACAGACTTAGAGCAATCTCAGCTTGCGGGAAGCGTCGAGCCAACCATGAATCATCCGCCAGCGGCAAGTCGACGGATATGGAGAAGCACGTGAGAAAACGGCGACATTGATGGAAGTCCACACCTGCATTTCCACCACCCCCAAGATCCATGCTGCTGCCTGCCTTTGTAGAAATAAAAACATCCAGAAGAGGCGCTGTACATTTTGGGAAAACTCTTTATTTCTATGAGAACTGAACTTTAAAAATATTCGATTCATAACGTATGCAAATTTCCCTACACTTTTTCCGACTCTGCCAATTTGTTATTTTGTTTTGATTACAATTGCAAAACGCTGGCTAAATATTTGCTTTAAACACTTTACATGCTAGGGGTGTGTGTATACATATAAATATAACTATACATATGCGTCTGTAAATATATTCACTATGTATGCATAAAGTCGGGTAATTCTGACACGCTCTCACGCGTCCTCTATTCTCATAAATATTTTTTATTTATTTATTTAGCAATCAATTTGCGTACATTTTGCCTGTTTTTTGTTGCCGTGTTCCATTTGCATTTGAAATGCTTTGGCCTTTTGCTTAAACACTTACGTATGTAGATTGAAATTTTATTGTAAATATTCGTATGTGGCTAAATGTCCGGTATATATAGCGTGTATATATATTTGTTGGCCTATATTTTTGAATATCGATAGCAAACTAATAAATATATAACCCTACCATATATGCCTGTCGGTCTCCGGACGTCTTGTGACTCTCAGATTGCAGACTCCCTTTATTGTGATTTGTTGTGGCCCAGTGAGTGTGTGTGCTCCTGGCCATGTAAACCACCATGTCATCTCCTCCGATTGCCCCGTCCCGGATCTGTGTCAATAAGTCTGCCTATTGATTTACGGCTCAGTCGGGCCGTCCTAATTTAAATTATGATTGCGCTTACGCATAAATTAATTGTCCTGGACACCTCGCCCAATGGATGCCCTCGCCTGATTGGCAGCAATGCCATGGCTATTATTAATATTATTATTATTGTTAGGTTACCATATGTGGATCTGTGTGCACTTCTCAATCAGTTTTTATTATTTGTCCAAATTAAAGCGAGCGTGCCGGGTAGAGTTTGACTTTGTATTTTACAGTTTACGCTTTAATTGCCGGTCTATTTCGGCTGATTGCTCTCATTGTTTTTGGCCATTTGACTGGATGCGTGCCTCTGTGTGGGTAGCTGTCTCTATATGTATCGGTATCCGTATTATATGCCTATGTATTGGTAGTTTAACAATTATATGTATATTAAGCTGGCGCACAATTTTACACTCGACTGCCCGTCCAGAGTTTGTTGCTTTGTTTTCACTTTGCCTATATTTAATTTCACCTTTTTTCACTGTTTGCATTTGTTTGTTTGTTTGTCTATACTATTTTTCACTATTGCTGGTTGCTGGTGGCTGGTGGCTGGTTGCTGGTTGCTGATTGCTGGCTGGTTGGCCGGACTCCCTGTGCTGTGCTGCATTTAATTAAATTTAAATAAAACGATCATCGAGGCCTGGCAGAGTTAATTGCACGTTAACGCACGCTCGAAGCAAATCGAACAAAAAATTCCATAAAATATTAAATCGCTGCCATGGCAGCTCTTGAAACTTTTCGGCGAGTTTTGTGGGGTGGCGGAAGGATGGGGGCCGGGGGGAAACAAGTGCTTAAGCTAATTGCAGTTTCGGCGACAGACGGAACCGGAAACGGGCCTCAAAATGGCCGCCGATCCCTTGGCAAACGCACTCTCACGTAGCCGCTAAATGTTTCAATTTTCTGGCAGCTCAACGCGGCGCCGCAGACATTTAATAATAAACGCAGCTGCATCCCCGAAATGCCCTGAACTTTTCCCGGATGTCTCTTTCACGCAGCAGAGGGGGGAATCGCAAAGACACAACCGCGAGCAAATGGCCATCGACCATTGGGATGCCTTTCGGCCGGAGAGCAAACAAAATTAAAAACGAATTTCGAATGCCTTTGGCTGGCTCAAAAATGCAAATCGCCTTTGCTGTCACAAAACAGTGATGGGAAAGTTGGTATCCTTGTATTGTCCAGAGTACACGGGGTATATTCTAAGATTCCTTAACTTAATGGTTGATTGGGAAAGCAAATAAGGTGGTAATTTTTAAGAACTGATTAATAAAACAGTTTAAAGAAATATGTAATGAAAAATTAATATTTTACAATTTTATAAAAGGAAGAAGCTATCTTTATAAAATAGACAAATTATGCCAGGGTGATTTATAGCCCACTAGGCTTTTTAAAACTTCTTCTTTCAGGTTTCAAATTTAGTGTAAATTTGTATTCTTTACGAAGTAAAATTATGAAACTCAATTTTCGACTCCTTTCTTTAGAGGTTCTAAGACCCCTAGTGATTCCTGTAGCATCTCAAAGTGTCCTTATATATTTTTCTTTATTCTTGTGGATAATGCAAGTAGTACTATCTAACATTTCCCATCACTGTCCACACACGCACACCACACACATTGCAAAAACATAGTCGCACAGCTACGCACGCACATGTGGGCTGGACAAGTTGCATACTTTCGGGCGCAACATGCAATTAAAATGCAAAAAAGGCAAATGGCAGAGCATCCAGTGCACTACCATTGCCACCGCCACAGCCATTCCGTCTACAGCTCCGGCTCTGGCCTTAGCTCCAACTCCAGGTTGGCCCGCAGCTGCAGGCCCCGAAAAACCATAGACCAAAATCGATGCAGTGCCAAGTTGAAACGGAAATGCCGGAGCCGAATCCGTATCCTGTCTGTCCGTGTGTCGGTGAGTCTGTGCAACGTCTGCGGTTAGAGCAAGTTTGCCAGCCTGCAACTGTGTGCGAGTGTGCGTGTTGATTTAGCGTTAAGCTTGTTGGATTTTTGCGTTTTGTCAACATTCTCCCCCCGGCCAGTTGTCGATGCATTCGCAGACTGTTGCTGCTGTTGCCTCTGCGGCGGCTTTCTCGGGGTGTCCAAATAATTGCCGATGGACTTCGGGCAAGAGCATTTCGAGATTGAATCTGGTTGGATGGGGTTGGAGGTGTGTATACACAGAGAGAAACTTGTTCAAAATTGGATTATGATCTAGACTTGATGTAGTTTTAAAGGTAATTTGTTAAAAAGAACATAATACTTAGCTGGAAATAATTATAAATAATGAAAGAGAAAAAAGAGAGATACAGTAATAGTCTTAATAAAATTATGGCAAATAATTAAATAAGACTGTATGAAATAATCTTTCTTATACTTCAATATTATTAGGGATCATGTTCTGTGCATATTTTCCTTTGCAAAAATAAACCAAGACTGTAGATGTTTCTCTCTGTGTCGCCTATGGCAGTGGCTTAGGTGAGGGCGGTAGTGCTGCTTAGACTAGGCTTACTGTTCATTAATGGTCAGGTGTCTATACAGTGGGTTCAGGTGCTGATCAGGTAGGGTATATCAATTAGTCCTAAGGGTAAGTTAAACTCAACGCCTGCAGATATTATTCCTATGCCTAGTTCTCGTCCTATCGTTAAGTTTGTGAGTGCTTGAAAAATGTTTCGTTGTCCTGCTGTATTTCCTTTCCTATTTAGCCTCATCCTATTATGATTATGATCCCGTCTCCCTCTTAACATTGCGTATCACCTGATTGAGAAGAATGATTGATTCAACGATTGAATTATGTAAGTTTGAGTGTGACTGTATGGCGATCCTGGCTCTAAGCAGCTGCGCTGCCCAGGGCCGTGTCCTAGGGATGCTTCGTGTAGTTGTTCAATGGAATCTCGTTCACATGCGTGTGAGCCACCTCCCCCTTGTTACGCTCGTGCAGGGCCATCTCCAGGGGAGCGCTGGCCGGCTTCTTCTGGGCCGCCTTCTGTGTCTTGAGCTGCAAGGAAATACAGTTTAATAGCTATCCTTTAATAATTATACCCAATTATCTCATATTTACTCTCTGTATGGTCTTCTCGAAATCCTGGTGGGGCTCCGGTCGCTTCATCGTGCTGCAGTTCCTCAGGCGCTCGTTGGTCTGCAAAATAAAACAAAAATAGTATACTCGAAGGTGGAATAAATTCAAGTCTTGGCCAGACTGCCACTCCATCTCGGCCATATTGCGCCCACCCATGATTACTTCATTAACTCGAGCCAGACCCAACAAATCGACACCTCAAAACAACAACCGCAACAGCCAGGACTTTGGGATGGAAATGGAAATGCCAAATGAAAAGCGGCGGACTGCCGAATGAGTGTAATGAAAGGCCAACAGTGCCAGAGGGTCCCCTAAGCGGGGAGATCCCGGCATTTCCGTAGCAGACCGCATAATGAGAACCGTAGCCCGGGACAAGCTTAGGAGTAGGAGCACCACACGCTCTCCGGGTGACCTTTGACTGGTGCAGAGGAGCTGAAGCTGGAGCTGGAGCCGAAGAAAGGTAATGAGTGCCAGAGGACACGCCGCACACACAAAAGAAGTTGTCCCCAACACGGAGCACAATTGTCGCCAGTGCTTAGCCCAAGTCATTTTCAAAATTGACCGCAAAACTCGCAACTGGAGCCGGCAAAAGCCGGAGTGGACGACAATCTGCAGCCGTCGGGTTCTCGGTAGCGGCAAATTGTGCTTAAATATTAAATGAACAGCCGGCGAAGGAGCGGGCACGCGGGCACACGGTGCGCACAAAAGAAAAACCGGACAACAACCGTAAAACACGAAAAGTTATAAACTCTCGCCGGACCAAAGAGGACCCCAAAAAATACACGGAAAACCCAAAATAAAAAAAGGAAAACAAGGAAATCTGAGGGAAATGGAAAAGTGCACGGCCATGGACACACAAAACAAAACACTTTGGCACGCCTGAAATAATAAAAACAAATGCGAACGGAAAAAGGACAATCGTGTATAGGTAGGTAGCTCTGACAGATGCCTCCATCTCCAGGTCCAGGTCCACCTCCCACATCCGGAATAACAACCGCAGCAAAGCCGAATAGCGCCAAGGTGCAAATGACCAGGGAAACGTGGAGTAGCAGGAACGTGCTCCTCAGGTCCTCCTCGACAACGCCCCTTCACAATGCGATTGGCGTTCTCACTCCCATATTCCTGCCTCTGTGATCCCCCAGTTTTCGGTTTTTCGGTGCACTCGGAAAAAAAAGGATTTATTTAATGAAATTCAAGGTAAACTAGTTTTTTGTTTAGAAACGTAAGATGTTAAAATATTTATGCTGCTTTTCGTATTGAACTTTTGGCTAATTGACAAAGACAAAATTGCCCAGAGTAGGATCTGTAGTTCCTTATTATTTAAGCTTTAGCAATTTAAAAATAAATTACTTTGAAATTTTCTTCGAGTACATACAGCAACCCGCTTTGCATTGCATTTGTGTCTGGTACTTGGACCTGGCACCACCACCGCCTCCGCTTTCTCCCCCATTGACAGTTCATATCTCGGAGTCTGCCATTTGCATCCGGCACATGTCCTTGTGCCTGGACCACGACTACGAACTACCGACTCCCGAGACCCGACCCCTGACTCCTCCAGCCCGCTGTGCTCTTTGCTACGGCTGTGTGTTGTCATTGTCTGGTCTGGCCCGCCGTTCGTCCGTCGCAAGTCAACGCAATTAACGGTAATTGCCTTTTATCGGCTTAGCCTTGATAAAGTTTTCCAGCGCCCCGCCCACCAAATTTTCCCCCAAACGCGAACTTTTCTAGTTACTGCTGTTGTTGTTGCTGCTGCTGCGGCCATCGTTGTTATTTGTAGGTTTACGCGGTTTTTATATTTTAATTTAATTTTATAAGTAGTCCCAGAGTCGCTCCTCGGCTTCCCGAGAACAAACTTGTCCTTGGCAAAAATTCGACATTAAACAGAGCTGTGGTCGGCGGGCATTGGCAAAGTTTTTGTTTTGTTTTGAATGCGGCAAGGAAATGCTTTGAAGTTGCCTCCAAATTATGGAACTTTTCATGGCTTTCCACAGGGAGAGAGAGCGAGAGGTAGGGCTTTCCTCCAGTTTGAATTAGGGAACGGGAAATTAAACTGCGACCAAAATGCGAAAACTCTTTCTATTTTCATAATTCCGAGGCAGCTCCAGTGAGTGTCAAATGCTCAGCTAATGAAAATGTCTGCGACTATATGGCGCTGAACTCGAATGTCAGACAGGCTGACTAGTTTTATTAACAGAATTCGGGGTCAGGCAAAGGTATAAATGGAATTGTATAAAGTCTTGCTATTATCACTACCTTAAAATAAATTTTGAAAACTTAATTGGTCTTCCTTGTATTCGAATTTATCTCTATTTTTCTAATTATATATATCTATAACTATAAATGAAATGTATAAACATTAATTCAAATTCTTTTTCCAATGAATACAACTCCCTCTTTGTCATGACTAAACCCACAAATGTCATTAACATTTGGTAATTATTGGTTGCCGTTTTGGGCTAGCTTATTTTCTCGGCTTTTCCGACCTTTTCTTTAATTTCTCTTATCCTCAGGCTTGGTAAAAGTCTTTTTTTATGAACCCAACCACATACAAACACAACCCAAAAAGCCTTAAAGGCAATAAAAATTGTTGCGAAACCGGTAGTGACAGTCACACACAAAATGGTTTGCCAATAAAAGGTCCACATCCGCTCCAAGTGGCACCCAATTTGCGACCTCCGACTCACCTTCAGTTGCATTCCCTCCGTGGCGTTCAGCTCATCGCCGCTCTGCCGGAGACCGTGCAGGAACCTGGCAAAGACCGTTCTTCGCTGCTTATGCTTATTCCGGCCCTCTGCAGAGTTACGTTCAGCCAATCAGATCCAGATCCAGATAGAGGTACAGGTAAATGTACAGATACAGATGCGAGACGAACAATCAAACCGAGAATCAAACAGACAAACATTTGATTAACCAGACAGTCAAAGTTTAAGCGCAAACCAATTTAATTGAATTAAAAGCCATAAAAGCCAAACAGCCGACAAACTGTCTCTAACCACGTCGGTTTTGGCCGCTCTTAGCCCCATGCTCCTCACCTGTTGCCGAGAAGTCGTAAAAGAAATTGGTGCGCGCTCCCGGATAGCTGTGCTGCATCCCGTTCAGATTCAGAGCCGACTTCGAGTCGATGGCATTGCGGGCCATCCTATTGGCCAAATCGTTTTGCGTGTAGCTGTAGATCTCGTTCTCCTCGCGGTTCGACAGGCAGCTGGAGGGCTGCACGTGGCCGGGAAAAACAATATTAGATATTTGTTTAATGAGTGCTTGCTTTTTTCGTGTTCTCAGGAAGAAAGGAAAGCGCTCTATTTTGGGTTAAAAAATATTCTTATGTTGCTTTAGGTAATAAAAAATGTTCAAAATGTAACAAAGTACGTATTTTGTGGTGTTTTGTTTAGTGATTTATATTATTTTAAAGGGGGTAAATGTAGGAAATGAATAAAGTTTAACTTGGAAAGTCCCATATCCATTTCCTGTAATCTTTAAGAAATTCTCCAATTTAAACTTTAACTGCAAACATAAAGGACTTTTACCTTGGCGATGATAAATTAAAGGTTGCTAGCAATACTATAATCACATTAAATCACACGGCCTTAAAAAACCTAACCTAAGCATAACTAAGTAGTAACTGTAGCCCCAATAAATTTCTCTCTGTGTAAGCACACACATAAAAACGCTCACATGAGCCTGCATAATAAACGAAATGTAACGTAAACGTAACGAAAATGAATTAGAGTCTGATTAGCTGGAGGTCGTAAAAGCCTCTCCGGCCGTAAAAGCCAGCCAGAGGTCAGAGGTCGCCGCATCCACTTACCAAGTACTTGCCGGGCACATACAATGGCTGACTGTGGCTGGTCGGCATCACCGAGGAGCCGACCAATCCGCTGGAGCTCGGTCCGGCCAGCCGGCGGGTGAGCGTGTGGCCCGTGGAGATGCGCACGTGGCGCTCCTTCCACTTGGACAGGCGTACCTGCTCAATGGCGTCCAGCACGTCCTCGTAGGGCATGTTGATCTGCTTGCTGTAATGGGCGGCCAGGCCCTCCAGGTAGCCTCTTTTGCCCTCCTATGAAGATTAGGAAATTAATCATAATAATTCTGAGAACGAAGCAATTATTTAATTCTGGTGAAAACAATAACCAATTAAAAAAATAATTATAAATTAAAGGAGATGCCTAACATGGTCTTGTTCTGGCTAATTTCAAATTCATTCACTCTCGTTTACGCACTCACAGACCCACATTCTGTGTGTTAAGTAGGTGAGGGGGAGATTTACGCACAGGAAGGCAGCTAAGATCCTGCCAAGAAGTCTTGGAGCTGCAATCCACTGAGGCCAGGGTCAAAAGCAGCTTCCCACGGCAAGCAAGGCGGGGCAGAGTTAGCCAGGTAGACGCACAAGTGTTAATATCTTCCGGTAATTAGCGTGAGGCTGCCACTTAAATGTGTCCTGTTTGACATTCAAAGCGGTCACTGAAGCGGCAGCATCGTGCTCCTTTGTGCTGCTCCATCTGCGTCTGCATCCGCATCCGCGTCTGCATCCGTATCCGTATCTGCACCTGCATCCTCAACTCGACGCGACTCAACTCGACTCGAGTCCGCAGAACTAGAGCCCCCGCAGACCCTTGAGCTTGGCAAATTCATTTAGCGTCGCATTCATGTAATGCACATGCAAACATTTGTGCTGAAATGCAACTTGTCTGCAGCTGTCAGTCAGTTAGACACACAGCCCCTTGCACACACCCAGAGGGATGTCTGTCTCATCAGCGCAAAGTGCAATTAGTTGAAGTTGGCCCAGACAGCGCGACGAGGCAGAGGGTGAGAGGGATGGCCCAGAAGCCAACAAGTCCTCTGTCTAACCTGCAGTCATTCCCTTTGCAGGCACCCTTCTTTGCTTTCGTCTTTGATTCAATTCCATTAAAGCTCCATCTCGATTCGCACCGCAAAGGCAACAATCGTAAATATTTAATCACATCTCAGGGCACAAACTATGCCAAGTACTGAGTCATAAACTGCAAGAGAAAAATGCAGCAATTGGTGCTAATTAGAATGCAAAGCAGCAGGAGTTCATGACAGGACTATGATGAAGTCTGCTATTTGTGACTGGAAAGGGTCTAAAACAGGCGTCAGAAAATACACCGAAAGAAAGCAAAATATTTCATGTGCCGAGGATCCACTTAGCCATATTTCAAGTCAACAAAATGTAGTAGAAAATTTCGTTGTTCAATTTTCTCACAGCTCTCAGCAGAAGCATCGGGATCTGCATACTAAACAGCCTGCATCGACACATCTGACGTGTGTCTGGCAAACCATCAACACTCCGCATATTCGTGCTCACTAGGCACGGCTGCCACGCCCACACACACCTCCGTCCCTGTCCCTAGAAATGGCTTTAAAAGAGATATAGCTCGGCAGATATTTGCATTGCATTGGATTGCATTTCTTTGGCGGAATGCAGGCGGCCCTGAACCACTGACATGTTTTCGGATGCAAAAGCCCAACAAAATGTGGACAAAGGCGGCAGAAGTCATCACCGCAAACGAGGCTGCCAAGTGCCTTTCAATATGCAGTTCTTTCATGCCGAAACAGTGGTATTACCCTAAGAGAAATAGGCTAAAATATTTTGTACTCTGTCCATGAAAATAAAAGTATGACTAAAATTTAAAACAAAGATTATAGTTCCCTTAAAAATATTATTTTTCATTTTGGAAGTTATAAACTTTACTTATTTGTACCCACAGTGCCAGCCATATTTATATATTCAACACTGGATCCTCTGCTGGCAGTTCCAATTTGATGGCCTGGCATTTTGGGCGATCATTTAATGGTGCCCCCTCAGCCTCTTTTCCCACAGCATAACCACAATGCACGGCTTTATCTCTAAGCCAGCAGCAGTGACCAAAAAATACGCGCAAAAATAAACAAAATTAACGCAATGCAAAATCATTTTCCCGGCCAGGGACCAACATGCATATAATAAAATAAACAAAAGGGTAGAGAAGCGGCAGGACGACGGCGGCGGCGGCGGAACTGAGGTGGCCCAGCGGGGCCTCGCTGGTTGGCCACTCGGTTTAACTAAATTAAAATCGTGTTAATTTCACATTAGAGCGCACACAGCGGCAGCTCCAGCTCCCCGAACGACTGTCACACGTTGCATCCCCACCATCGTGCAACCCCTTTGGCTCACGTCCTGTCTCCTGTGGTGGCAGCATGCAAATTGCCACAGTCCTAAACAAAATGACCATAGATAAGAGCAATCGCCTGGTTAGTGGCTGGCACAGTTGGGAGAGTTTGCCCGCGAATGCTAACTTAATGTTGCGAAAAGCAGAAAAAAGGTTTCCATTAAATAAAAGTTAAAGGAAACATTTAAAACATTTCACTCAGAGTTCATTATTTCTAGTAAAATTTCTCTGAATCTCTGAACTAAAAGTTTCGGGTAAAAAGAAATTCTTGAGAACTTGCACTCACCGGCGTGGAGTAAGGATGCGCTGTAAGCCGTATTCCATCGGCCTCTAGGTGACGCTTCATCACCGCCTCCAGCTCCTTCATGGTCACCGGCGTATCACAGTCGGAGGCCAGGATCTCGTTGCTGCTGCTCAGCGCCTTGGGATCGTTGATGAGCACATACACGATGGCGGCGCCCTTCTCGCGCAGCATGCGCACACTCTTGAGCAGCTTGCCCCGGTGGCTGGGGTTGTCCACCCCGATGGCGTCCAGATCGATCTCGCCAATCTGCTTGCAGATCTCCAGCTCATCGTAACCATTGTCCAGGAAGCTCTCCCCGTAGTGGCCAAGCCCAATGGTGCGCAGCCACTCGCAGACGATGTTGTGGTGCGGCATGGTGGTGCCACCGCTGGCATTCGCGTATCACGTGGCTGCACTGGGCACGGGAAGGTCCAGCGGAGCGAACGACACCTTGTTCAGGCGATGGGACTTCGAGGTAGATGTGCTCGCCCCACTGGCCGATGTAGTGGCAAACGGAGTGGCAGAGGCAGCGGCCGCCAGGGGCTCCGGAAGATTGCAGCTGCTGGCGGCACTGCTGCAGGAGCTGCTGGACGTTGCCTTCATAGCAGCGGCAAGGGGGGAAGCGGAATACTCTGAGGGAGAGAGTAAATAGGAAAGAATTACATGTTGTTAATAAAATCAGTAAAGGTAAAAAATAATTCAAATAATTAAATTAAAAGCACTTTCCATTCAGAGGGAGTTGGAAAATTGATGGGGTTTCATTTGTCAAGAGCCACACTGCGTATGCGTAATACAGTTTCAGCAACTTCCGGCGGCCATTAAGACCGGCACTCCCCAACGCCTGACACAGGTGTGGGTCAAGCAAAGGAGGTTCATATCGGAGGGCCGGCATATCAATTTGCGTTAATAGCAGTCATTGTTCACCCACCCGCCCGGCAGGGATGGGAGTCCTGCCTATAAGCACTTAATGATAATGCTCGGTCATGTACACGAGCCACTAAAACACTTGAATATGCTTAGCCCCGGAAGCCACTTGCATATGAATAAGCCACTTAAAATGACAGATGGACCGGCGCAGACGGAGGCATCGGCATCTCCCGGGGAGGGAGGGGTCCGGCCCGGCTGGCTGCGCCCTCGGGTCACAGACAAAAGACAAAAGGAAGTCGTCTAACTATTTGCAATGCCCATATAAACCAACCCCTTACCCGTTTCCTGTTTGTTGTCCACGTGTGTGCATGTGTTTGGCTGTAAAAATATTTTTGCTGTCGAAAAATGAAATGCAAATGTCTGCTGGCAGCAGAAATATTGTCCAGCCACCGCCTCCAAATCTCCCGTCCCAAGGAACATCAAAAACGAAGGTAAAGGCCAAGGAGGTAGACACAATGGCATAATGAAAATAATGTGGCTACAGTTTGCTCACACAGAGCTGCAGCTGTCATTGAGTGTGCTAGATTGGAGTGGTTCGCTCTCCGAGCTCCGTCCCCGAATCATCTCCAGGCCGTGGATTTGTCTGCCAGGAGAATCCGCTCGCCTGCCAGCCGAAGTAAGAGACAACTAATTGACTCGGCCTGACTTGGCCTCGCCTCGCATACCTTTCATATTGATAAACACATGCTGGACAAGATGCCAGGATGCAGGACGACGTTGGCCGGACAATGGGGCGTATGAGTGACCTCTGGTCAAGGGGATGAAAACGATGAGGCTTTTAGAAGATGAAAGGAACACAATTGCCGGAAGGGTCAGGGTGGAACTTAAGCGCAAGGAATCTGATATCCCAGGCAATTTTGATATTGAAATGATTTAAGATGAAATGATAGGGGGAAAATGGTATATTCTTAAAGGGAATTACACTTTAACTTGATGAAACGAATATTGCATTTAAATTTAATAGGAACCTCGAAACTCGTTATTGTTTATTCATTTAAATTTTAAAATAATCCTACGAAATTATTGCCTGTTTCTTCCGAGCAAGCCCATTAATTATTCCAAGTAAGTCAAGATAAACTATAGAAATCTGCAAACTATACCAGTCAGCCCCCCTGGCCTACGCCTTTGGCCGAGGCTGCTGCAGCTGCAAATATTTAACCACATCCTTCGCATCGCCTCCCCCGGAAAACTTTCGGCACATTGTTAGCATAATAAACACATAATAAAATGCAAAGGGCAAAATCATTAAAGTCAATTTTGAAGATGTTTTGCATACGCAGCCGTTGCAAGCAGCTTGCCAAAGTTTATTTACGAGCTCTTCCGTTCTCCGTTTTATCCCCACTCTCAGCCAATGAATGTCAGTGGCAGTCCGTACATAACTAGATGGATGTACATAATATTAGGGCCATATATAAGGGCTAAGCCGAGGGCTAAGGGCCACAAGCCCGGTGTAATTACATGAATGTTGCACAGAAATTTGCATATGCCGCAAACTGACGCCGATAAGCGCCTTAAATTTTCAATTTCATTGTTTATTAAGTGCCAAATAATTGTTTGTGTGCCCACTGAGGTGAGTGAGTGCGAGCCAATGGCCGTCAAAGGTGTCCGGTCCAGGCCGGCCCCCGCTTTCCGCTTGTAATTATTGTGCAAATTTTGCGCAATTTCCTGGCCTCCTTTGGCGTCGTGTCGGTGAGATTTCCTGTCTTTCCTGTCCCGCTGCCAGCATGCAATTATGAACCGTTTTCGGGACCTCTGAAGCGTGTGAAATTTCGCAAATTTGCAGCGCGCTTTCCCTAATTACCCCCTTCGATTGTCGCCATCGCTTTCTAATTACGATTAGTCTTTTCGAGCGGGATTAATGGAAACTCCTTGCCCACTGGCCTCAAATTAAACAGAAACAACACTCGCACACGAGCAGTTGGATAAATATAAGCCCGCGCGACAATGGCCCCATTGTTTATGGCCTTTACAGATATTTTTATGCAAAATTTCAGCCAGAGTAATTAATTTTAATATGAAAGCCAAACATGCGCGCTCTAACAATTGTCATATAATTTGCCGTCTAGACAGTGGAAATTTAGTATTTTCAATTAACTGCAATGGCAACTGAGCGCTGCAATCTGCCCCCCACTTGCCACCGCTCCTGTTGCCACCCTCTTGGCACAACAATGCACACAAAAAGGCGCACACTGATGATGGCTATGATGAGGGGCAGAAGCGGAAGGAGAAGCGGAGCTTGGGAGCTTTTCTGGCTGACTGCCATGTTGACATTGCTAGCTCTACAAAAAAAATATAAAAATAATAGGAAAACAACTGAAATTCAAAGCAAGTCAGCATTTAGACTTTAAGTTACCTGTTACTATATCTTTCAAATAAATAAATATAAGGATAAATATAAATTAAGATAAATAAAACAATCAACATTAAGTAAGATTTTTGAAACCATTTTAAATTAAACTTAACCATTATACATTTTAATTGCATTTAAATTCGCCTTTTTTCTAACTTTTAAGCTGTTAAGCAGGCTTAAAGCCTACAAGCACCTCGGTTCCCATACACCCTACAAGTTCAGGGGTACCCGGCCCGAGAGGGAAATCAACCCACGCCTGGGTTGAGTGGCAAGGCAGCGAGTTGGAGCCGGAATCCCCGACGCCGATGCCCCTTGGAACCGTGACTCCGGACTAGCAGGCGTTCAGCAGTTGCCAGAGCAGCGTCCTCAAGGTTGGCAACAAAATTGCACTGGCACAGGCAGTCACTCGAAAGGGGTCTTGGGAAGGGGTCAGCAGGAGGGAGGAGGCTTTTCAAGGGGAACCCAGCTACATTCGTGTGCCAATGTCAGTGCACCTGACGCCGCTGCTCCTGATGCTGCACTTCCCACTCGGTGGCATTCACTTCGTTCAACTCAGTTCGGTTCAGTTCAACTCGCTCCCTTTCCCAGGCCCAACAGTGCGTATTGCGGTTGCCGGGAAGCCCTGCAAGTGGGGATGCCAGGCCCTTGTCATCCCCTTGTCAGCGACTTCGATTTCACTTTTTTCCCCTTTTTAATTGAAATTGCATTTGCCGCGTTTGTTTGCACATAATTATGATTCGGGGGACTTTTGTCGCTTGTTATGCAAATTTAAGGCCGGCTCATCTCGCGATGAATGAGTGTGAATAGCCGGGTGAAATGCATGAATGCTTGACTGCAGCATCAGTCTTATTTTTTATAATTTTTCCTTTCTTTTTTTTTTGGGTTTCGCTGCGGTTTTATTGTGGTTGGAGCCCAGATGAGACCGGCTGAAAGGAGGAAGCCAGCAGCCTCCAGGCAGCTGCAGCTCCATTCAGCTCCAAGTATGTCTACTCTAAACAAATGGGCAAAGAACTAAAACCCATTCAAATAGTGAGCAGGAGATGAAGAGAGCCAAAAGGAGCTACCTCGGTAAGTGTGCAAAATGCCATCACTTAAACTGTGCTACTTACATTCTAAGAAGCAGCAGAGTTTCAAATTAAAGCGAGCTTCAGAGTAATGAAGAGAATATTAACCAGACTTTAGCTATTAGGAGTTGGTGGAAAAGTTATAGAATTTACAGGAACTTAGACAGTCTACAATGTATTCTTTAAATTCAATTAGTTCTCTAACAGAAAGTGTGAAGTAAAGTTACACCCATTAAGTAACATTAATAACCAATTGAGGCAAATAATCACAGTCATCAACCTGACCCCAATACCAGCGTTAGACCCTGGCCAGGATTAGTGAATTCCGTCGGACGGAAATCCGGCATTGACTGCTGATTGAGTAATCAGTGAATCGAGCCGGTAATTCCGCAATTTACTTACATTGTGAGCTGGCCGTAATCAATAGGTGAGCCCCGCCGAATGTCCTTGCCGGAACTCTCAAGACATGCAAACACACACCGGGCACACACACACACTCGCACGCGATTTAAGCGGTTCGGGAGTCGTTGACGCTACCTATATTCAAATGTTGCGGCGGCACTTCATTTGCCGGGGATTGGCCCGAGACTGCCCCGTGCCCACAAGGACATAATCGCAATGGCCCACTTGTTGGGGACTCGACCGCAGGACAAATACTACACGGAGAAAATTTCAGGGATTTTTTTAGCTTTTAAGTTTGGTGATTTTTTCGGAACAAGAATTAACAAAATAATAAAGGAATGTATTTTTAGAAAATAATCTATTAACATTTTTGATTCAAAATTTCTTAATTAAAAAAATAATTTCATGAGACCTATTTATGTAACTAAAAATGGTTTAAATTTTTAAAAACATTCTTAAAAACCATTTTAAAAGCTTAAACCATTTTAATAATAAGATTATTTTTGAATTTAAGTCAAGAGAAATATGTTAAAATTGGATTTACTGATCGAAATAAATTCGAAAATAGGTAAATACATTTATTCCTTTTATAAAATATTCAAAATAAACCTTGTCTAAAACAATATCCTAGTGGTAGTATTTTTTCTCTCTGTG